TATCTATCATATACATTATACATATCAACGGTTTGGCTAGGTCATCAATGGTAATTGTTAGATTTTGTGAAACTCCTCACATCGGAGTGTATTCCATTGATTTCCATATATAGGGTTACAGGAAATTTACTTAGTTGCAAATTTGCAATGCACATCTATATTGGTTTACTTGACATTGTGATGAAGTTTCAGGGTATTTTATCGTATTGTAGCTGTCTTTTTCTGGATTGATAACTTATTCTGTTTTGTAATCCTTAAAATAGCTGTCTTTAAATTAGGCGAGTTGTGAATAGAACTTTTTCACATTTAAAAAACAGTATTTGCAAAGGGCCTAGTTTAATGGCAGTTGCAAATAATATTTATTAACAACATGCTAAAATAAAGCAAGTTGCGAATAATTCATTTTTACAACTAAAATAAGAAGTATTTGCAATGGGCTGTTAAATACGTCAGTTGTGAATAATGACTGTAACAACGAACAAGCGCCAATTACAAATAATATTCTCATTATTAGCCCCAACAATAGCAGCCCAAACCATATGGTAATAGGAGGAGTAGCCCATCATCAGACTTATAAAGTGATTAAGACTCTCTTCTTCAGTCAATGTGAGACACTTATATGATTATATGTGTTACTTTGGAGGTCTATTCTTTAACAACCCCTCCCCCCTCCCCCCTCCATGTAAGGTCTCTTTTTTTCTTTTAACTTTGTCTCGTGTGATTATCCGGGTTAGAGTGCTTCTTCGTCACTCCCCCTCACATGGACTTACTCAATTTGGCCCAGTGAATTGTATCCATTTAGGGCCCCATATTGTGGGCCCAGCTTTGATACCATGTTAAATATGGGTCTATGGACCGCACACGCAAGCCAAGAGAGAGTCCACTTAACAAGTCCAAAGGAGATTCTATCCGAAAACCACAAGGCAATAGGAGAAGTACCCCCTTAGTCTTATGAAGTGATTAACTCTCTCTTTTTCAACCAATGGGGGACACTTATGTGTTACTTTGGAGGTATATTCATCAACAAATTGACTTCAAAATTAACATAAAGTAACAAAATTGTCTAAAGGGTTTACAAACATAAATAATTTGACATTTTGATGTTTTAATTGATTCAGGCAATGTCAAATCCGGCATGTGGGTACTTTTGTATACTTCAAACTTTTGTATACTTCAAACTTTTGAGTCGAGGTAAGGGAGTTTTAGTTAAGTCTGGTAAATCATTACCATGGCAACTTTTGTATACTTCAAACTCAAGATGGTCGATAAGCTCGTGATGAGGAGTAATAGAATGCAAAGGGTGTTGAGAAACATCACTATATTTTTTTCGATTAACCAACAATGCTAAAAGGAGAGATTTTAACCATGTTGTACCTGTTTTTGGTAGGCTAGCTAAAATAACATCAGTATCATCTTGTGCTAGAAAGTTGGTTTGAAAAGAAAGTGCGATCTCTGAAATCATATTTGCGCACCAAAAACCTTGATAAAAGTGTAATGGATAACCAAACCACAAATATTGATCTTTTAGAAGGGTGATTTACTGATTTCATCTTGTTTGATCAACTCATCTTCCAATTGCACTTGAGATTTGGGTTCTTAGGCTGCCTTTGAAATGAAATAGACCTGTGAAATAGAAACTATGGAGTAAAAAAGAAGTATGTAAGCTATAGAGAAAATGTTCAAGTAGTAGTACGCACATTATGCTATGTTTTCGAGGATTATAGATAACGTTTGGTTGGTACGTTTTGCTTGGACTCTAGCCAGGTAATCTAGCAGTAGTAGTGTAGTACGCACTTCTAGAGTCCAAGGTTATTATAGAATTATAGAACAGTTGGTTGGTTGGTAAAAAGAAAGGTCCTACTGGCCGAAACCTATGATAGGTCCTTCAAATCTGAGTTAGCGAAGTAGCTAAGGCATTACACTTTAATTTGAAAAAAAAAGGGAAAGGGTAAAGGTAAGGGAATCGCCAATCCCAAAGATTTTCCATCTAGACTAAGTTTTGCTTGGTACGTTGTATAGTTAACTTGATTGTGTAGAACTTGTTTTACTGATTGTATTCATATAAATCAATATATAGATGTTATATAGTAATCCGTACTACATTTATCGATAAACATACCATAAAGTACATGGATGATCATCAATCACTGTATCACAAATTGATTTTTGATATTTAAGAGATGGATTCACATAGGGTAATATTATAGACGGGATTTGATCCTACTTTTTAAATATGAAAATTTTCCTTTTTTGTAAAAAAAAAATGTGAGATACTCTGTCTAACAATGTCTTACCACCTCTGTTTTATTCAGCTGACACCTTTCTCTTATCATACTTATCAACACACTACTTTAACAAATAATATATCTAATTCTTGACATTTTAAAATTATAAAAGGTGGATATTAATGAAATATACACTGAGACGATTCAAACAATAAGATCAATCTCACATTCTCACTTGACTACGTTTTATCGTAGCTATAAATCACAAAAGCTAGTAAAAGTGCTATTCCTGAATAGTGTAAAAAGTCAAATGGTGTCAACTAAAAAAAACAAAGGAAGTACTACCGCTGATTTTTATTATTTGCAAGTTAGGAGTATTATTTGTGACTTGTGGGATATAAAATATTTCAAAGTTGCAACTAATAAAAATCGGAGGTAGTATATGAGGTTTAAACTTTGTTCACTTTAGCTTATTTCTATTAAAATGACATTGTTTTAGTTTATACTCGAATTATTTGTATTGAATTGAAATTAATATAATAATACGAGTATAAACTGAAATAGCTATGCTCCTCGAAATTTTTTTGAATTTTGCAAATGAAAACTAGACAAAATACTAACCAATTAAAAAAAAAAAAAGGAAAAATACACTTTAATAATCCCAACTTTGCCCAATTACTTTAAATAATCCCAACTTTTGAATATTCTACAATGATCCCAACTTTAATATGTGTTTTCTTTCTTCAATCCAATTTACTGGTAACCTGGAGAAAGGATTACTTTTTTGTTAAAAATATAAAATTGCCACGTGTCATTTGTTTATTGGTTCATAAAAAATTAATGTTTTTTTAAAAAGAAAATTAACAAAAATCAAAGCCCAAGACCCCAAGCCTGCCATGACCATAGCCTCCCCAACCCTAATTTGCGTTTTCTGACGCCCACCACCAACTTCCGCTACCTCCACCCCGATAAATCTAGCCCTGAAATCGTAAGCAGCGCAACGTTGGGACTTGGGAGCTTGGGAAAGATTCAAAGATGGGGAATGAAGAAGGTCGGTTATGGTGGTGTGGGAATTTGGGGGGGGGGGGTGGGGGGGCTCCGATTTCGGCAGTGTGAGAAGCGAGAAGGTTGGTGTTCTGGATTTAGGGAAGGGAGAAGGGAGGTTGCGAGTTTAAGGAAGGGAGGAATGGCTAGTTTCGGTGGTGTGGGAGGGAGGGGACGCCGGTTTCTAAGGTGGGGTAGGGATGGAGTGGTCGATTTCCGGTGTTATGGTGGTTGGGCAGCGAAAATCGGTGACGTGGCTAGGGATTGGGAAGTGGTGGTTTGGGGGTAAGCTGAGGAGAAGAGCACGGTTGGTGGCTGGTGGGCGTGGTGGCTGGTTGTTTTGGATTTTTTTTTTTCTTTTTCTTTTTTTTTTAAAAAAAAAAATTGTAAACCAATCACGTATTGACACGTGTTGGGTAACCTAGAATAATGGGTTGTTGACTTTTGTTGACCGGTTTTGGATTGAAGAAAGAAAATGCATATGAAAGTTGGGATCATTGAAGAATAATCGAAAGTTGGGATTATTTAAAGTAAATTGGGCAAAGTTGGGATTATTTAAGTGTATTTTTCCAAAAAAAAAAAAAAATGGAATCACATCAAAAGCCTTAGAAACAAAGGAGAACGAAGCCAAACAATCTGACCTTGGAAACTGAGTTTTTTGCCACGATTTTGTAAAATTCGTTTGCAGCATTTTTACAACTTATCTTATCAAAATCATTCACGAAACTTTCAAAGATTAAACCTCTTGCTTGTCAAAAAGCAGCTACACCAATTTGATGTGTAATTGAATGGGTTCTTCATAATATTTTAAGAAATTTGGGGATATGAAACAATTCAATCATACCAAGACTAAATAACGACTAAATCAGTAGCTTTCTCAGCAAATATCATCTGTATTTCTCTTGCTAAAATATTTCATACATATTGATCAAATATAACTTAAAACTTTTCTGCCTTTTCTTTAATGAAAATATACTCCCTCCATATTTTAATAAGTGATACATTTTTTTGGCAAAAAACTACAATTTAAAATTATATATATATCCTCTCATGGCCTCCACCTAGACTCTCTACTACTTTTTTATTATTTCTTTCCTCTTACGTTCATTACTTTTCATTATACTATTAACTCCACTATCTTTCTTTCACAATTTTTTTTAATACCCCAACAACCCCACTTAGCTCTTTTTTTTTTTTTTTTTTTTTTTTTTTTTTTGGTGAAATAAACCTCTTATTTTATTTAAGTAAATGAAATTGCCTAAAATTATGTGCCGGTCAAAGTGTAACACTTATTAAAACACGAAGGGTGTAAAGACTATTTATACGCAAACACCCCATGATGTTAGGATAACTACTCCCTCCGTTCCCGATTGATAGTCACTTTTGAAGAAAAATCACAAGAATTAAAGAAAGTACATTGAAAAAGTAAATTTACATTGGGTATGCAAAAAGTAGAGAGAGAAGTAATTAAAGTACATGAAAAAGTAAAATTTACATTGGAAAGTTAAATTTGCACAAATATTTTTGCAAATGTTAGAGAATTTTGGTAAAAAAATAATATTAATGGTACTTGAAAAAAGCAAATGTGAGTATGTGACTAACATTTTGAGTCACCAAATATGACAAAAGTGACTATCAATCGGGGACGAAGGGAGTAAAAGATAAAATAAATTATAATTACTACCTCCGATTTCTTATTATTTACAATAATGGAATATTTTGGCTTACAAATAATGTCTCTTGATTGCAAATTGAAACAGTGGCAGTAAAAGATAAAAATACTAAATAACTAATTTTAAATAACAAAATATATCTTCAAATTAAACAATATTAAAAAATAATACTTGTGTCTTATCCATCTACTAATTCTACTACAACCCTAATTTAATTAATCACACGTAACTTTTAGATTGACGCCACTCAACCTCGTGATTAATAGACTAACCAACAAAATAAATAAGAATAATAAAATGAAGATATTGATGCCTTGAAATTGCATCATTCATTATAGTATTTGAAAGAAAATCCAGACTTCTTGAGTTTCTCATGTAAGTCATGAAGAAGCTCCTTAATCATTGAAGGATTTAGATAATTAATCCAATCCCCAACCTCACCTTTCCTAAATAAAGCATAATTCTCCACAAAATCATAAAATTTACCACTTTTATTCACGTCTTTTTCCTTTAAGCTATCAAGACTACAAAGCTTGATTATCTCTTCTACAAGGCTTGCTTTCTGTTCTTCTTCTGAAAACGGGCAACCCATAAACTCAGCTAGCCTCATTACTTGAGCACTTGGATCCGCCTTTAACCCTTCATATTCCAAGAACAACACCTTGTCCGGGTTTCGTGTATGCTCGTCCCAATACCCTAATATGTAATCCTCATATGGACCAAATGCAAAACCCCCCTTACAAAAATTTTCAAAATATTTCATTATCATATCCGGTGTAATGGTTTCATCTCTCTCACATTTTAGATTAAAATGCCATAATGATATGAACGTGTCCAAAGGGTTTCGACAAACATAAACAATTTTACATTTAGAGGTCTTGATAGAATCCGGTAGAGACGGATATGGTATGTGGGTAGCAAAGAGTCGAGGCGAGGGTAGTTTGGTTAGATCAGGTTGACTTCCTTTGATTTTAGAGTAAAGTTTGAGCTCAAATTGGAGAACGAGTTCATGGGGATTTTGAGTATGAAGTGGGTGTTTAGAAAAATCAGGAAACTTATTCCGATTAATGACGGAAAAAATAAGAAATTTTAGCCAAGTAGTGCCACTTTTAGGAAGGCTGGCTAGGATAATATCCGAATCTTGTGCTTGAAAGTGTGTTTGGAATGAAATTGTGGGTTCAAGAACAAGGCACCAAAATCCTTGGTATAGATAAGTAGGATATTTACCAAGCCATAATTTGTTAGGAAGGGTGAGTTGTAGTTGCTCTAGTTTGTCTTCTTCTATATCCTCTAAAGAGTTTGTATTAGTGCTAGTTGACATGGGTATAATTAAGCTTCTAGCAGTATAGGCCTTTGTTTCGAGGGAAAAAAAAAGATAAAGATTACAACTCTTGCAAGAAGCTAGTCTTTTAAATAGGGAATATATATAAATTAAATATAGAGATTTCTCTTTTTAATTCATATTTTTAATTGTTAATAAATAAGCAAATTAAACGAAAAACACTTATCTCAATGTTATGATCTCAATATTTTGTTGATCAAATTGACTATTGTCGAGTCGTGGAGAATCACTGACCTAAAAAACGATTATGTGTTACCCCGGTGTAGTACACATCAAGCGCTCACCCTGCGGGATAAGTACGATTCCGGAATTTATATGCACTCACAAACCGTACTGAAACTCAAAATACTTGCCCAAAACTAAAGGAAAATATTTAGAGTGAAGAAGAGAATTTTTTTTTTTTTTTTTTTGTGTGTCTCTAAAAAGATGGAGAAGCGTGAATATATATGGAAAAAGGGGAGGCAACGGGCTGCACTTACAAAGGAAAATGGTCAATCAAACCTGCACCATTAAATGAAGTAAACAATGGGTAGGTAAATAAAGAGGCAAATGGCTAGTCATTTACAACCTATGCAACTATTTATATTCATAAACCCAAATTAATAGCACTATATGAAATCCGTGCGATGCACATTTTATTAATATTTTTTTAAAATAATTGTTTTTGGTATTTATGTGATAAAATTTATTATTTTATACATTGTACCTAGTATATCAATTATTAATATTTTTATTTTAAAATTAAATTTGAATTTTCCCTCCTTCGTTATAATTTTTGATAAAATTTCTAATATAATATGATATTATTTTTATTTTTAATTAATATGCTATAAAACTTTAAAATCTCGTTTGCCAATTTTGCTTATGTGACATCTGAATTATTTAATTATAAAAAAAATTATAAATCTCTTATTTAATTGGCTATAACTAAATTTTCTTATATTACATGGCACATTAAGAATATTTAATCCTGCGTGGCTCTCTAAAAAATCGGGATAAAACTCTCCTTTATATATATATATATATATATATTAAGATGACCTTTTTACTTCAATGTTAAATACGGTCAAATAATTCGTTCGGATAATGTAGGGTATTTAGAATACGATATCATATGGAGTGTACTTTTGTGCCCAGACGATACCCAGGATGATAAAATTTTAAGATAACATTTTTAATTGAATGTTAAATACGGTCAAATAATTCGTTATTATGATAATATAGGATATTTAGATATACGATATCATATGGCCTATATTTTTATAGGGTGTACTTTTTGTAGTTATTTTTTTAAAATACTTACTCCACTACTTTTCTTTTGTAGTTGTTTTTAAATACTTGCTCCATTTTCTTATTCAGAAAGCTTTTATAATACTTAATTCATTTCTCTCAACTAATAGTGGAACTCAATTTTATTACTTTTAGATTCTCTTTCCTCCAATTTACCTTCCACTAATCTCACTATCTCTATATTTTATTATTTTCTCCAATTTCTCCTAAAACTCAGCGCATGGAGAAATGGAGCAAGTATTTAAAAACGAAGGGATTAGATGTCTATATTGTTATTAACTTGAAATTATATTGATTGAAGTTTAATTAATTACACTGAACTGAAAGTATTTTCACCAAACTAAAATTATTTTTTGCTCATAGGCATAGTTCGATCAAAAGTAACCACGACAATTGCAAATCACAATAAATTCCCCCATAATGAAATATCTATAAGCATATTTGCTCATAAGAGCTACATACTCTTGACCATCTTACCTCATAACGGTAAAAAGAAAGACCTTAATGAATCAGCATCTCTTATAGACAATTGAGTCTTAACAATATATAGGCAATTGTTCTAACAATATATAGGCAATTGTTGTTTGTTTATATTGACTTTATTTTATGAGAGATCAACTAAGGAAAGGTGGAGAAAAAGTAGATTAAATCTACAGTACCATAATTAACTTTTAAATTAATAATTTCTCATAAAACTTCTATGGCCTACTACTCTACTACTCATTTTGGAGTAACTTTTAAAATAATTCGTTGTCACAAATTTTTTTATACGTATGACCCAAAGTAATATTCTACTGTAAATGTTCTCTTATTGTTTTTTTTTTTTTTTTTTTTTTAACGTGAAGTTAAAAAAAAACCACATATCATTAAACAACATCATTAAATAATAGCCATACGACATCTATAATAATAAAGATCTGTAAATCACATATCTAGAAAAATATCATAACTTTTACAATCAAAATTATGACTAATTTGCATATTTGGCATAGCTCAAGCTTGACATGAGCAATGATTTTCGATATCTTTGTATCTTTCCAAGTTGAGACTTCCGCAAGCTGCACTGATGTTTTGATCGAACATTTGGTAACAAATCTCATACCCATAGGAATTCAAGTCACCTCCTCAATTACTATAAGAACCCTAAAAATAAAATTTCCATCCATGGATGAGAATCAAAATCCAAGAAAATTAGAAAAAACCCAGAAAATTGGGACAGACTCTCACTGATGGAGAAAACAAAATAAAACAAACCAAAACGTAAAACAAAACAAAACAAATAAAAAAAACTAAATTGAATAAAAGAAAATTAAATTAAATTAAAAAAAGTTAAACTATATCCGGCCTAAACAACCAAGAAAACTAAACCCCTATAAGAGAGAAAAGAGAAGAGAGAGGCTGGTTTCTCTTATTTTTAATTCGTAAAAGTGTATATATAAGTCGAAAGAAGAATTTTATATTCAAAAATTTAGTGCTTACTAAATTCTTACCGTTCCTTTTTAGTTGGTGTTATTTTTATACTTAGATTATTACATTTGTTTGTTTTTTTTTTTTTTTTTTTTTTTTTTTTATTATAATTTTTTTTAACTAGGTTAAAACCGAGGGATGCACAGTTTACATAAAACCTATTTTAAATTTGTACATTTTAAAAATAAATCGTTATTATACATGAATATAAATAAGAATTACTTACATTTCGTAATTTAAAATCTTTTATTTTCATCAAAATTATGATATATATTGTCAATCACTTTGAATAATTAGGTTTTTTTTCCTTTTCTATTTACACTTATCATCACATTTAAATAGGAGGGAATCTAGGATAATTAGTACTTTTTTTATACTTATATTCAATTTGGAATTGTGGCCAAAAGTCAGTTAATGTTTTTTTTGGTGCTCTACCCGGTTCACCCTTTTGGGCTAATCCGAATTCGGGGATCAGTTTTGGGTGGTTAGGTTCCAGTCCCCCTCCCAATTGTTGTTGCGGGGGATCGAACACATGTCCTCCCTACCAAGTGTAGTCCCAATCACCACTACACCAACACCCAATTGGTAAAGTCAGTTAATGTTGGTAGTTTTGTATTCATAGGAAAATTAATGTTGGTAGTTTCGTATTTATAGCTCTTTGTTATGCAATTTGATAGTTGCGTATTTAATTTATAGGCAACCAAAACACCAAAAAAAAAAAAAAAATTTATAGGCAACCAACAAACGTAGTATGCATCTATTACCTAGTACAATACTTTATCAAATACAATACTTTATCTAATACAATACTTGTAGTTTTTTTTAGAAAAATTAGAAAAAAAAAATAGAATTGATGACATCATACAACAAAATAGCGGGAATTTTTTTATTGTGGAAGCGACACATAAGATAGGGAGGGGATGTATGATGTCAGCAAATTTATGTTTTAGTAATAGTTAATAGATTCAAATGAGGTACAGATTATTACATTTGTCATTGCATTAATTTCACCATTAATAATTTCAATCAATCAATAACATAATACTAAAATAGACACCAAAAATGACACACGTCACTTCCTGGTGTCGTTTTTTCCTTCCCACAATCATTTTTCAAAAATAAATATATTCTTACTTTATTTTATACCTTATTGATTGATAACTTATTTAAGTCAATAAAATTATTATCCGTACATATTTAATTTATATATTATAATTGAAATTAAACATTCTTATTACTAATATTAATATTATTTGTGGGTTAGTTTTTAGTACAAAAAAATACGATATATTGCATCAAATTGACTTTAACGATTCAATTTATAACAATAACTATATATTATAATATAGGTAAAATTAGGAATGCTATATGTCATCTCCTTTTTAAATAATTTCGCGCCAAAATAATTTTTTTTTTTTTGCCAAAGCTTTTTAGAGAATATTTAATGAGATGCAACAATATTATCCATACTATTTGTTAATTATATTTCATATATAAACATCCAACAAAATATTATTTTTTTAATTTAATAATATGCTACAATATTTTCCTACATATAACTTTATGACGCAATTCATAATTATTTTATTAGTCGTGGATGTAATACTCCCACTATTTTCTTTAGTATGATATAATTTTATTTTTAATTTTTGTATTATAAATTTTTATCTTATTTTGCAATTTGATAATTATTATAAATAAATATAGTGTTAAACTAATAATAAATAGTACGTGAAAATTACTGTGCATGGCACGAGACTTAATCTAGTTATCAATAAATTAAAGAAAGTGATGTCTAACCTAACTTCCACTTATTTGATTTAAATTCACAAATACCTCAACTAACTTGACAGGCAACAAATATAATTGATGTACAAATATACAATCATTACTACTTCCTCCGTTTCTATTTACTAGCACGGTGCGTTTCTGGTGCGGCTGGCCGCACCATGCGGCAGGGTACCAAATCAGCAAATGACAAAGTAACCCCAAGATAAAAGTAACCCCTGACTAACCTAATAACCCTTGACCAAGTAACCCCTGACTGACCTAGTAACCCTAACTGACCTAGTAACCCCAAGTAACCCCCAACCTAGTAACCCCTGACCTAGTAACCCCAAGTAACCCCTGAACGCTGACCTAGTAACCCCCAATCTAGTAACCCTTGATCGGACCTAGTAACCCCTGACTGGATCTAGTAACCCCCGACCTAGTAACCCCTAGTAACCCCCGACCTAGTAACCCCTAACTGACCTAGTACCCCATAATAACCCCTGATCTAGTAACCCCAAGTAACCCCTAACCGATCTAGTAACCTCCAACCTAGTAACCCCTAGTAACCCTAAGTAACCCCTGACCGCCGACCTAGTAACCCCTGAATGGATCTAGTAACCCCTTACCCACCACCAACAAAAAACTACCACCAACGAACCACTACCAACTTAAACCCCCAATGAAACCAGATCTAGAACCTAGAACCACGAAACCACCACTACCCACCCACGAAACCACCACTATACACGAAAACAATTTGTTTTTCGTTCTTCAATTAAACAAAAAATTAAGTAATAAAATTTAACAACTTACAAGTTATATAATCAAAATCTTTAGCAAATAAGATTGAATTCAACATAAAATTCGTAAAACATAAATTTTCAAAAGTAAACCATTAATGAAGTTTGAAGAAATTTGGGCTAAGAAGATGACACCATTAATGAAGTTTTAAGAAAAAAGAGGAGAGAGGAATAAAATTGGGGGAAAAGGAAAATGTTGTAGAAGATGGAAGAAGAAAAGAGGAGAGAGAAATAAAATTGAGGGCAAAAGAAAAATGTTGTAGAAGATGGAAGAAGAAAAGAGGAGAGAAAAAGGGGGGAGAGAAGAAAAATTATATATATATAAAAAATATATGGC